ACTTTGTAGGCATATGACCACACATAATCTGAGGGGACCCCTCCATTATTGACCCCATCAAACAAAATGGGGGCGCTAGAGAGCTCATTTCTTATTTAGGCCTAACCGCCATATGGATTTTTACTAAACTTGGTAGATATGTAGAACAGGACGCCTCAAGGTGACTGGAGAAATTTAACTCTAATTGGCAACTGGGTGGCGCTATAACAACAGAAAAATGCTTCAAAATGGCTAAAATGCGACCGATCGCTGTGGCTCCCCCTGTGGACCAATGTTGGTGTTGTTCTAATTTTTGGTATGACTAAGTCATGGTATGGTATGCTGTACATAATCATGGAAACTGTCAGTGTGTCATTCTGTCTGTCCCACGTTTTTCTACTCACTGACGTGGTCAATCTATGTGAAACTGCACATAGGCATTGAGGACTGGCATAGGTAGAAGGTGACAAAGCTACCAATGGGTATGGACTAGTAAAGTAATATAAGTCGTTACCAACAGAACTCCAGGTAATATTATTACATTTGCAATGTCACGTAACACGTTACCACCCAAAATTAACTGTTGATTGTTTTTATTTTTTATTCATTCGTCTGCGTCTAAGGAGTTGGGCTCCAGTTTGCTTTTTTTCATCCCAGTGATCGGCACATCTGGGTGATTGTGTCAAATGACCGTTAGTATGTTGGATGTTTTTCCATTAAAATTTCGTACAACAGTGGAGCAACTGTGACTGTCCCCTCCTTACACAGCTGTCTCCAATGCTGTTGTAGCTGACTGGCACACCAGAACACTCACAGGTGAGTCTTCTAACTCTGGTGTGTTCATCTGCGCTCGTCATAGTGACTGACTCGCCAATCCATTTGTTGTGCTAACCTGAACCTTAGCATTTGTCTATTGTGTTACATCTGATAAACCCACACATCATGATCCCTATCTCTCAATTTATTAGAATTTGATCCTTTGTCTGTCTGTCAGTCTGTCCTTGTGTCCAAGGCTATTCATTTATTGAAAAAGGTCGAGGCTGGTAAATTGTTCAGTATCATCACACTGTTGTTGATATAATAGGTGAAATTAGACCAAGTGGTAACCACGGCATGTGAATGCATGAGTGGGTCAGATTTACTGGAGGAGAACCTTCATTAGGCTGAACAATATCCCCCATCACTGGATTTATATGTCAGTAAACTACAATAAAGTTGACCCTACAGTGCTCTGATTACTGGCTATGAAACAACATGACCCTCGTACATGTTATAGCACTTAGAAAGAAAACCAAACAAAGTGAAACTCTATCAGGGAGCTGCACCTTGTGAAAATAAATCCAAACCTCTATGACTGAATGTGTGAGTTTACTTTGAAAGGACACAGGAAGTGTCCACGCTCAGCAGTCAGACAGGAGTCAGGTTAATTTCCAGGGCTGGTACCTGCGGTTATTCCACAGGCTAGTTAATAACATGTCGGGCAGGAAATCCAAAGTGTGGGATCATTTTGAGAAGGTGAAGGACGAACCCAAGGTGATATGTAAACTCATCTTCATTGGTCGACTACAAACATGACGTATCATCTGAAACATGGAAGTAGCTACATGCCCATTAGCCCACAGCGTCATTAACAGGCGGCTCGCTCAGTGTGTGACGTGCACTTGGAGATAAAATATAGGCCTATATTAATGAAGGTTCATTAGTACGGTTTTGTATTTCTCTGTAATGTAGCACAGTGTTAACAATGTTACTGACACTATTCTTTCTCACACCTTCAACTCAAACCACCAAAATATATCATTTAATCATTACATTCATATCAGAAACATGCAGGAGACTAGTCCACTGATGGACCCTGGTGACGACTGATGGTCGACTAGGAAAATTCTTACTCGGGGGCAGCAAGTAAAACGGTAAAGTAACTTAATACTTTCAAATGAAGATGACTAATGATATGTAATGAATTGCATTTTTATGAACACTTGCAGCACGAAGGAGAAGTTTGCCTTCATCATTTCATTTTAACTCAGACCAGGATCTTTATCCAAAGACAAACTTGTCTCAACAGCGCTGATGTAACGTTAGCATCAGCAAAACCACCTGCGGCTCCGTCCACCTCTAATGAGACGACCACTTCTTTTCAGTAACCTGGTTTGTATTGTTCATCCATCACCAGTGAACCGACTCCCTTTAAAACCTCAGGTGAGTAACAGCAGCACACTCACCAGCATGCTTCAGTCTCCATCTGCATATTGTAGTGTATATATTGAATATAGCTTTTATTTCAGTGCCACCATCACTGCTTCTATCTTTTCATGCTAACAAAAATCCTAATCTCAGGTGACGTCACACTGAGCTGAATGAACCTCTCTAATGAAGACTAAAAACCACTGATGGACAGTTTGATGTTGACATTAAGACAGTGACACACAGACCTTCTCTAACCTGAGCTCTGATAACCTCTGAATGTGTCTTTCAGCTCCAGCAGCTTCATTTCCTCCTCTTTTTTTTCTCTCCTTACTGGCAGCTATTTAGAAATCTGATAACTTCACACAATTTTCTGCTTCAAGGAAACATTTCACTTAAAAGCCAACAGCTCCTTGAAGAATTTAACTGCCTTTTAAACCTGTTTGGTGCAGCTGGGCAACGCGCTGAATGATGCCACTTTGAGATACAGTGAGCCGGTGACAATTCAATGCACTGAACTGGATTCCTAATACGATGGTGTGGAGATATCAGACATGGCTGCTGAATTTCAAACGCTGGGCTACAATGGAGCGCAGTCGGGCAGCGTCGGGGTATTTTCTCTCCTCTGATACAGAGATTGAAGTGAAAACCTTCTGACAGCAGGTTTAACCTAACAGGCCGTCTTGATCCTCAAACACAGAGAGAGCGTCCTGGTCTCTAAGAAAAAGCTCAGCCTCACTGCTCGCTGCTTTCAGCTCCACTGACTCGCTTTTCCACCTTTTACACAGAGCCTGTCAGGAAGCACCTTGTTTACAGTCAACTGTAGTTTACAGCGCACACACACACACACACACACACACACACACACACACACTGAACACCACAGCCTTTTGTCTCTGTCATTAGCTACAACTGAGCGACAAAGTCTTCAATCAATATCCACTTATCTGCTGTTAAGAGACAAACACTCAGCTTCCTCCTGGGGAGTCGGCGTGCACGTGATGTGGGTCCAACCAACAACACTGACGACCTGACACCTCACATTGTGTGCTTACATGTAAGATTTGCTGTTTTTATTCTAGAAAATTCACAGTTTTCAATCTTATCAAGTGGAGAGGCATCTTAAGCACTGTTTGCATGGGAAGAGTGTTACCTGGGGAGGTCAGGTCATTTGTAACAGTACGTATCATGAGTCAGGAAGTCGGCTATATTGGAGATACTGGAGGTAAACAATGAAACTGGACAATAATAATAATAATAATGATGAATAATTATGATTATTTTTCAGGGCTTTTGTGCCCTTCATTTAACAGGACAGTGGTATTGTGAAGGAGAGAAAAGAGGGGGGGATGACATGCAGCAAAGGGCCACAGGTCAAATCGAACCCACAGCTGCTGCAGCAAGTACATAGCCTTTGTACATAGTAGGCCTGTCACGATATGTGGTAGGTTGGTTAATTGTACGGTAAATTTAAAGGGAGACAGTAACTTTTTGGCCGCGATTAATTGCCATATTCACGCGTTTGTTTTCCTCGTCTCTCTCCACCAAAGAGACTGGACGACAAGAGCGTTCACTGCCGTGCATCGTCTGGCAGCCAGGTGAGTTGGTTCATTCGTGTAATGAACGGAGGGAAAGCTCTTTAGATTTAGATTGCCAAAAGTTATTACAAGTCAGGGACATGAGCTCAAAACTAGAATTACCACCCTGTGGTTGTATGTCTCTGCGCACCTAAGTTTCTGATACACTTTCCATCCATGTCAGTGACAACATGGACGCATCACACACAGAAGATCCATACAATCAGCACAGTTTCAAGATCAGAGTCACCATTTCAGTATCTGACCAAATGTCTCCCCTTCTGTTCCTGAGACATGATGTTGACTAACGTTAGTAATTCATAACGTCAGTTATTTGAGGTCATGTTCAAAGTTTCTGCTTCTGCAATGTGCCTCTTTTCCGGTTGAGAATTAAGGAGGCTGTGTTGGCAATTATAAATCTTTTTTTTAAAGATTATTTTCATGGCTTTTTGTGCCTTTATTAGAAAGTACAGGTTGAGAGAGTGAGGAGGAAACAGAGGGGGGACGACATGCAGCAAGGGGCTGCAGATCGGAATCGAATCTGCAGCCGCTGCGACAAGGAGAGAGCCACAAAATGAGACCTTTGTCAGTAATTCAGGGGGATAGAAGGCTCATGTTGCTGCACACCATGGAGACCCATTTACTAACAAAGCAAGCTCAAATGCATCAAAAGAGCAAAATCTCCAAAGATGACGAGATGGATGACGTGTGGTAAGATAAGGTTCTGTTTGTTTAATCCATATTCAACACAGTGGGTGAACACTGTAACATCAGTGCTAGTGGAGCTGTGTAGAGCGTCTGTGTTGTGTAGATAGTTAGAAAAGACTGTGCACATTATATCTGCAGGATAATGGATGACTACATCACATGAGGACCCTGGTAACACAGGTCCTGTGCAAATCAGGGTTTTTGAGCACTAAGGGACACCAACTGTGATGTGGATATTCGCAACAAAGAGTCCAAACAAACCAAGGACAACTCAAAACTCAATGATGAAATTCACTAAACAGAAACACTGTGTTGGCTCCACACGAGCAGACACTGAGCGATCACTGTGCTGAATCATGTCTGAACCAACAGCCCTAAACACAGTATCTAACATAAGGCCTCTATCAGCCTCATGCATCAGTCTGCCTTTAGTTATTTACATACTTGACTGGTCCACTGTAGTTTGCCTCGTGTTCAGAGGCGAGAAGATTCAGGTCATCTGAGCAAACTGTGATCCTCTGAAACAAACAAGCTGATGGTCAAAGTCACCTTTCATCCTTTTGATGAAGTCTCTGTCTTCTGACCCGGCGTCCTCCCGGAGCCTCTTCTGACAGCCGCCTGCAGGGCGCAAACAAACACACTGATCACCTGAAACCTCACAAACACACACACACAAACACGTCACCTGAACACATCATTACGATCATCATTATTTTCTAACTGAACATTATCTAAACAGAGGAGTTTACAGGCTGCGTTACAGGGCGGCACAAAGTAGAATATGGTGGGGAGATAAACATAGGAATCCAAATAGTGACACTCATGGATACGCACAGAAAACCAAAATAATGCAGACACACACACACACACACACAAACAGAGACTCATATGAAGAGAAAACCCAACTGAACACACACCTTCTAACAGCCTCTGTGAGGGCTTGCTGGCGGGAAGAGGATCCATACTCAAGACCTTGTAAAGCTGTCCAAAGGCTAGGAGGCGTAACGCATGCTGAAACACACACACACAGACACACACACACACACGCACACAGACAGAATAAGGTCACATCACTGTATTGGTAAAGCAGCAGAAGTGTGCACTCAGAGAAGAACAGGCAGCAGCGATATCATTTATTCTCTGATCAACGTGCTTTAATTATCGGGGAAACTCGTGCGAGCGGCCCAACATTTGTGTAAACCAGCGAACTCTGTGGGGAGAAACTTCATGCATTATAGAGAGGAGGAATAAACAGTCAGTGGGCTCTGACGAAAGAGGAAAAGAAAAGGAAAGAAAAATATTCCCAGAGAGCAAAACAAAGGCAGAAACAAACAGAGACGGAGGAAAATATGAATTTGAGAATGTCTTCATATTTCTCAGCGCTGAGCCCACAGTTCCCACCCGGGGGCGGACTTTGTTGTTCCATGTGCCATGCAGCAGCAGTGGTAGTAGTAGTGTCGGTGTGGGTGTGAGCAGGGAAGAGTGTTCCCACGCTCATTAGGTGGCTAATTAGGCTGCCAGTTCGTCAAGCCTGCTCTGCACTGAGGGGCTGCTTATCCGAGGTCAGAGTCCGGGCTTCTGCGGCCACTCAGCTATTTATAGTGCTGACGTGAGACTCGGGGCTCCACCGAGGTGGCCGAGGACTCGCTTTAAATAGCCCTCCTTCAATCAGCGGAGCAGGAGGGGAGCGTTACTCGTCCAGTTTCCTGAAAGAACTGCTGACTTTGGTGCAGTGGGCGGCGTGGAAGTGCACCCCGGTGGGACGTTTCAAGGTCTCACGAGTCGCTCGGCTGAGGTTCAGCTGATGATTACGCTCGGTTAAGTTTACGTCTGCGGCTGCTTTTATAGCAGGAAAACAGGAAGGGAAGTTTTATAGCGCTCAGGGGGGGATGTAAAGACAACGTCCATAAAGCAGCAGATTAAATGAAAGACTTACTGTCATGCACGTTATGTAAAGTGTGTCTAAAATCAGGACACATCTGCGGCTTTACATTAATTCACCTCCAGGGACAAACTCTGCTTCTAAACGACTCTCAGGAGTTTCAATTCCCAACTTCGCTCTCTGAATATTTTCCCACACAGAGAATTTGTCGAGCAGCTCCAGTTTGAATGTACTTTCATCCCAGACTTGATGAAATCTGAGGTGACTTTATTTGTGTGTGTGTGTGTGACTCCATCACCTGTGGGACCAGTTAAACCCTGTGCAGCTGTGGCCCCGGGGCCAGAGACAAGAGCCTGTTAATTGAAGCTTTTAATGTTCACGCTCCTGGAGCAGAGAGGATAATGGAGATGGGAAATGATCCTATCTTCCTTAACAGCTACTGTTAAAGTGCCCTTGAGCAAGGCATTAAACCTCCAGTAAATTAACAACAAAAGGACCTCATCAAACCAGCTCACCTGCAGATACAGAGCCCACTATCACTCTGAAACAGGTGAGAATACTGTGGGTTATTATAACTCATTTGACTACAGAGAGGGTTTTACCTTAAAGGAACAGTGTGTAAGATTTAGGGGCATTTAGTGGCGTCTAGCGGTGAGGATTCTTTATTTCAATCAGCCAACAAATTTCTCGCAATTAGAATTCCTTCAGTGTTGATTGTTCACAAGGTTTTTACTGGGAGACAAATTGTCCACAGAGGTCTCCTCCTGTCCAAAACAAACGGACCCAGTAATTTAAACAGCTAAAAACACTGAATAAAGCAGCTTCATGTTACAAATTGAGCCGGTCTCACTCTGAAGTCTGCAAATACTGGTGCTTGGTCAGTGACGAAATGGAATACAATACGACAGACAATAATTGTAAGTATGTACATATACATTATGTCTGAAACAATTAATAGATACATTTAACAGTCAAAAATTAGTCGCCAGCAATCAGTTATCAGTCACTCATACACAATACACAGTGACGTGCCAAAACTTGGGCGAGCGTTTCTTTGGAGGTCCAGTATTATTAATTGTTTTAAAGGTACCTTAATCCTAACATACTTTTACAACCCAGTCTCACTCAGAAATCGTTGAAATCCGACACTTGGAAAGTGACCTTCGACATCAGACACCAACGATAAAAGTAGGGCTGTAGTCAGTCAAAGAAAATCTTGGTCGACTAAAGTCGCACATAATGTTTAACTAATCGATTAGTCGTGGGGAAAAAAAAAATCTGCACGTTATTTTTACTTCTGCGGTGGTGTGTCCGTGTCACTCTGCAAACACTAGTCGGCGGTGGAGGACTGTGTTAAGTGCTGTGAAGTTTGGTTCAAATCAAACTTTATTTATATAGTTGATTCAAAACACATTAAACACACATTTCAAACACAAGTAAGCAAATCAGCTTCACTATAACTCGCAGCATTCACAGACAAACTCTTGTCTTTATCTGGACACATTTCCCCCACCAATACGACATGCTAACGTTATTAGCACAAGTCTATGGCGTTTTACATTGTATAAATTAGCCTAGCGTCTAGCGATCTTTTCCTCTTCTCATATAAAACCAGGGACAACAGCAACATGTAACAAAGGTAACGGCACATAATTCGGCTCCATTACAACTCACAACATTCACAGACAAAACAACTGTCTTATACTAAACACGTTTTCCAAGCAAATACAACATGCTAACGGTATTAGCGCCAGCCTATGGCATTTTACATGGTATACATTAGCCTAGCGATGAGCAGAGATTTCCTCTGCTCATATGAAGCCAGGATAAATCCTGAAGTATAATCCCTGAAGGATAAATCACACACACGACTTAAAATGCTATTTTAGTAGAGGCTTTACTGTCTTCATAATTTATTGTTTCTTAAATACAAGTAAATTCAAGCTTCGTTTCCACTGAGGGAAATGGTTTCAGCTTACAGAAACAGACAGGAGGTCTGCGTCACCGCGACGCTGAGCGTGAGGGTGGGTGAGTTCAACTTTCTGTCACAGGTAACTTAGCCTGTTTCCCCACCGCAGGAAATAATGGATTAATCCTGGAAAGCTGTTGATGAAGCACTTTTCTCCTTATGACAGTAACACGGCGATTATTCGATCAATGAGAATTTGGTCAGACGAGAGCATAGTGACCAAATAATCAACTAGTCGACCAGGAGACTACAGCCCTAGACAAAAGCCATCCTTTCAAGTTGGTCAGACGCCACTATTGTTTAATGGCGCCCAGCGGTGTCGGGGAAACACTGTGGTACAACAACAGTTGAGGGGGCGGAAGTCCGAGGAGGGTGTGTGGGAGGGGTGGTGGATGGGTCCAACAACCCCCGACTTTCCCCTGAAAAGGCTGGTGTATGCTTCCCCTACAATTGTAAAGCCAAACCCTGTTCTTTTTTCCCAAACCCAACCACGTGCATGTGTTGGCAAAACGTAGCCGCATGTTTTCGTTGTTGAACGAAAAAAAACGTCAATTCACAGTGTTGTACCGACATAGTGCTTTTATTTTGAAAGAGACTGTATGTGGACATTAAATTTCTTGTGAAAACAGGAATTATTATCAGTATTTTGGGAACAGACGGGATTCAGTGTCTTGCTGAAGGATACAAGAATACATGCTGGAGGAGCCGGGGATCAAACCGCTGGACTTCTGAGTAGTCAACGACCTGCTCTACCTCTGAGTCACAGTCGCCCACTCGACTGCGACAATATGATTTTTAAAAAACATTCAATTCCGTTTCTACTGTGTCAGTTTTATTTACACGTTTAGCTGGGACAGAGAGAGTAATTTATTGTCTTATTGAGGCGGTGACATCACTGTTTCCTGTGGTGTTTAAGAGCCAATCAAAGTGCTTGATTTCAAGTGCTGCACAAAGACATCAAAGACTGATTAACTTTATAGGTTTTTTAAGAAAAGATGGTAAAAAAGAGCAGGCACAACAATGAGAATGGCTCTATCTGGAGCCAGGGTTTGGTTTGTCCGTTCTGGGCTACTGTAGAAACATAGCGGTGCAACAAGGACGACAAGGAGCCGCTCCCTATGTAGATATTAACAGCTCATTCTAAGGTAACGAAAACTCAAGGATTCTCATTATCACGTGATTATGCACTCAAGACAACATACTTATTTTATTATATTCTATTTCTGCCAATATATCCCCCTACACACTGGACCTTTAAACCTCTGAGCTGTTTTTAATAAATCCAGCCTGAGGTTCACTTTATTGTAGATTTTTTTTTTTTTTTTGGAGCCAGGAAATAAAAGTTTCTTCACTCAGAACAAAGACAGAAGTTTTATTAACAGTCAGAATATAAAAAACTGTCCATCTCACATACAGTATAATGGGAGTCCATGCTTTTTGGTTGGCAGTTTGAAAAGCATCCAAGGCCCTCTGATTATCAGTCAAAAATCCTTTATTAATACACAGATAATCACCATAACCCTGTATTATTAAAGGATTTTCAACTTATAATCAGAGGGCCTTGGATGCTTTTCAGACTGTCTAACAAAGCCATGGACTCCCATTGTAAGTAAGCTGGAGAGTCACTGTTTCTTTCAGGGGTGCAAAGTCATCATGGGTGACGAAGACGCAACCCCCCCCCCCCCCAAGATTGTCTGAAGGCACACCCCACTGGGAAGACATTCTTTAAAGTATTATTTTCAAAATTTGTATTTCCAGTTGATTCCAGGATGAAGACATGGGGAACAATTCATCCTAGGATTACTGTAATCTTACTGCTACAACAGTAATGTAATTAACATCAGATCAGCGTACTTAAAAAAAGAGTTCCTTCAGTTTCTATTGTTCAGGAGGTTTTTACCAGGAGACGAATTATCTGCAGAGGACTGTGGCTAAAATACGTTTTGTTTCCTGACCCCTCCACAGAAGCAGATTGCTTAGCTTCCATGTCATGCTGACACGTGCTGTATGTCATATCCCGTCTACAGATAACTACCTCATACAACCCCACTTCAAAATCTGAGCTGCCTCTTTAAGATATTTTTTACAAACTGCAGAAGAAGAGGAAGAAGTCACTGAGAGCAGCAGAAGGTGCTGACGGGTGAAGTGGACTGACCTGTGCGCTGTGTGTGATGGCGTCCGCCTGCTGGGCGCTGAGGTCAGACAGGACGTCTGTGGGTTCCCTCTCACAGGGGTCGTGAACTCCTGGCCCTCCTGTAAATAAAAACCACAGCGGGCTCTGACTCAGACAGGAGAAGACCTCCGAACAGCAACACACACTCTGAACCCACTCTAATTTCTCCTGACAGGAAAACACGAGGAAATAATTGACTGGTTCCTGCTGCGTACACTCTGACTGCAGCAGTAACTCATCAATGATTCAGGGCTTTCAGGAACAACCTGCCATTTCAATGCGGAGGGCAACCCTAAACCACATTTAAAAAATCCAATCACATCATCACAAACTGGCTGCTCTGCTCTGATCAAACATGGGAACTGAAGGTTTCCCACAACAAGAAAAATAAATCTGAAAAACAGGAAACATTTTTACTTGAACTGCTCGACAATAAAAAGAAATCCTCAGAGGGTAAATGTTTACACAGTTTAGAAAGTCGTGTACATCTTTCTAAAATACTGTTTACTCCACCACCAACTTCTGCTGAATGAAAAACATGTAATAGTTAAATTAAACCATCATTCATGCTGCTGTGAATCCACTGAGACTCTTCAGGAGCCCTGAGGGGACCTGCACCCCAATTAATGCACTGTAGAGTACTAAAAGACTGAGTATAGGTGATACTACACTGCATCACTGCTGACGCTCCACAGTCTGCCGTCCAGGCCATGAATCTTTGGGAGGCTGCAGCCAAACACCAGGTTATCCTAAAACACATTCACTTAAGATGTTTCTTAATGTTTCTCCTGAGAATAAAAAACTGTTTCCGTGCATCTTTCTGCTTCTTAGTTTATTTGCCTGCTCGCTGCTGATCCCTGGGCTGACTCCTTTTTTATTAGGTGTCAGGGGACATTACAGTGCAGAGAGAAAGTGGAACGCTGAGCACAGTCGCCTCGTGCTGCCCTCAAGTCAGAGACAGCTTTTCTAAAAACAAGTTTGAGCTTCTGTATTATTTCACAAGTTAACAGGTCATAATGTAGCAAAGAATTTCTTTATTGGATTTTTACAAATATTAAGAGAAAACAATGGAAACAGCTGAAAATGCACAAACTAATCACTGGAAAAATGTTGGCATTGTACGTTTGTGCAAACCACAGATATGTTACATTTGTACATTACCATACCATTTTAACAACACTGTTGTAAAGATGTGGTAAGGTTTAGGAAAAGATCATGTGTTGGCTAAAATACCTGCTTCTGGGGGCACAAGCCCTGCAGGAAATGCAACAAGCTCTCAGTCTTAAACAAGTGCTTTTTGTGGCACTATCCCTGCTGGAAAAACAGTAACAGGTCCCGTCCATGTTTTGGGGCGAAAGAGCCCTTTGAAAAAAGAGCCACAGGCCGAAAAGCCGCTAGAAAAAGAAGATAGGTCCCTAAAAAACATCCACGTTCGAGGGCTGAAAAGCAACCGGAAAAAGATCCATGGGTCTCTTAAAAACACGCATGCTGGGGGCTTAAAAGCTTTAGGAAAAACAGCAACAGGTCCCTAAAAATCACCCATGTTTGAGGGCTGAAAAGCCACTGGAAAAAAAGCCATGGGTCCCTAAACATTACCCATGTTAGAAGCTTAAAGCTGCGGGAAGAACAGTGATGGGTCCCTAAAAAACACCCACAGCTGGAGGCTGAAAAAGAGCCACAGGTCTCTAAAAAAACCCAACAGACACTCAGGGCTAAAAAGACAGTGATGGGTCCCTAAAAATCACCCACGTTGGGGGCTGAAAAGCTGTAGGAAAAACAGTGATGGGTCCCTAAAAATTACCCATATATAAGGGCCAAAAAGCCCCTTGAAAAAGAGACACAGGACCCTAAAAAAACAGAAGCTCAGGGCTGAAAAAGTTGCTGGAAGAGTAGTGATGTGTCCCTAAAAATCACCAATGTGTGAGGACTGAAAAGCTGCTGAGAGAGGAGCCACAGGTCCCTAAAAACACACATGCTAGGGGTTAAAAAGCTGTGGGAAAAACAGTGATGGGTCCCTAAAAATTACCCATGTTTGAGGGATAAAAAGCTGCTGAAAGAAGGGCCACAGGTCCTAAAAAAACACCCATGCTAGGGGCTGAAAGCTGCAGAAGTAACAGTGACAAATCCCTAAAAATCACCCATGTTTGAAGGCTGCACGGTCCCTTGAAAAAGAGACAGGACCCTAAAAAAAAAATGACGCTCAAGGCTGAAAAGCCACTGGAAAAGCGATGGGTCCCTAAAAATCACCCAGGTTTGGGGGCTGAGAAGCTGCTGAGAGAAGACCTCAGCAGTGATAGAAAGCTGCTGTCACTTCATCTCATTCATGAAATGGAAATGCGCGATTGCCGTAACCATGCATTTAATAAAGGATGCACTGATCAATCAGTCGCTGATCACAAACATCAGATCATCACTTTAAATACTTGGTCAAATTACAGACTCACATTTCTGCTCATTTAAATTCAACAACACATTTTTGTCTTTACTGAACAGAAGGGGCCTCGCTGCTCTTCAAGTGTCCATGCTGATTATAATTTCAGCGTCAAACTTGGTAATTTCATTTCGCTGCTCTCTGAGCGGAGAGTCTGATTACTGGATCCATTCAGTACAGTCGACTCTTAACTGATGACGGCTCGCACATATTCATTTCAGGCAGAATGGATCTCATCATTTACAAGATTAAAAGTGTTGAATGCATCAGACAGAGGGTATAACATATTCTGCCTCCAGGAGGGCCTGTTAGTGTCCCACAATAACACACAAAAACGGACTCATCTGCGTGTGATTCAATGTCCTGCTGCCATAAAAGCAGCCGTTTATTCTACTTTTTACGGGGACCTCTTACGTTTCTCCTTATTTTCTGTCAAATATATAATGTTATAATGTCAGGTGCTCATAATGACGAGGCCATAGTTTCAAATTATGACATAAACGTATGTAAAAGTGATCCTTGAGAGCACAAACCTCAGGCTTCAGACCATCTGAACACTCTGTTTCCCACAGGTTTTTCTACTCCGAGTACAGTATGACGTCAGTGTACTGGACTTTATATGGTCATCTGCTCCAAGCACGCTACTGCCAGTATTCATATTAATATCATATTACACTGCTACAGTACATGAAGCTATATGCTAACGTCACTTGTTACTTCCTCCCAGATGTTGGATCATAATCATAACTTGTCCAGTTGTGTTTAGAAGCTTTTGCTGGTGATTATTTCTGGGTAAAAAGTGCCTTTATTCTCCAATACAGTCATCCCACAGCTGCAATGATGGTGCAGAGACACCGAGATGTGGAAGACCCGCCAATAGCGACCATTCAGAGCAGATTACGCATTTTTGGGAAGGGGGCTTAAAGAGACAGGTGCTAAATGCAGCAACTGAGACGGAGGGTGAATATGGGTATTCCAGCACAGACATTATGAGGAAAATAAAGTGTTCTTTGACCTTTAAAGGTTTAAAGTTTAAGGATGATTTAGTGGCATATAAAGGTGAGGACTGCAGATTGCAACCAGCTGAAACTTTACAAATCAGTGTTTTTATGATACTGCTTGCTGCAGATTGGCGAGTGTCTCTATCTAGAGCGAGTGTTTGTCTGTTCTGTGCTACTGTAGAAACATGGCATTGTAACATGGTGATCTCTATAGATGAGGACCCGCTGTCTACATAGATAGAAACGGCTCATTCTACGGTAACAAAAACATAAGGATTCTTATTTTCAGGTGATTATACACTAAAGAAAACACACTTATTAGATTATGTTCCATTTCTGCCAATACATCCCCCTCAATCCTACACTGGACCTTAAAAGCATGTAAACATGTTCTTGTAGAAACCTTAAATATGAGTATGAACCTGAAAATGAGCATAATAGGTCCTCTTTAACGTTTGTGGTGTCTCATCACCTCATGAGCCCTTGTTAGTGGAGAATACTAGAATACACCATTTTCACTGCCATTTAGATCCACCACATCAAACTTTATGATTCAAACTGAAACCAAACTTTAATCTTACCCATGAGATGCAGCCCTGGTGCCCCTAACAAATGTCCCTGATGACAGCAAATAGAGGAAAGAGTAAACTGCTGGTCCACCACGTGTTTTCCAATGAAACCCTGAGAGGAAGGCAATATCTCAAGAAGGCCTTGGGGGAGTTTCCCTTAAATTTGGCAGAAACGTCCACTTGACCTCAAGAATAAACTGATTAGAATTTGGTAGTCAAAGGTTACTGTGACCTTGAATTCATCTCATTTTTGTGTACGCAATATTTCAAGAAGGGTTTGGGGGAATTTCCCTTAAATCTGGCAAAAAAAAATCAACTTGGACTCAAGAATGAACTGATTAGAATTTCATAGTTGAAGGTCAAAGGTTACTGTGACCTTGAATCCATCTCATTCTCGTGAACACAATGTCCCAGGAAGGCCTCGAGGGAGTTTACCTGAAATTTGGCACAAACGTCCACTCTGACTCAAGAATAAACTCATTAGAATGTGGTAGTCAGAGTTCAGAGGTTACTGTGACCTTGAATCCGTCTCATTTTTGTGTACGCAATATCTCAAGAAGGCCTTGGGGGAGTTTCCCTTAAATTTGGCACAAACATCCACTTGGACTCAAGAATGAACTGATTAGAATTTCATAGTCAAAAGTCAAAGGTTATTGTGACCTTGAATCCGTCTCATTCTCATCAACACAATGTCTCAGGAAGGCCTCGAGGGTGTTTACTTTAAATTTGGCACAAACGTCCACTTGACTTCAAGAATAAACTGATTAGAATTTGGTAGTCAAAGGTTACTGTGACCTTGAATTCATCTCATTTTTGTGTACGCAATATTTCAAGAAGGGTTTGGGGGAATTTCCCTTAAATCTGGCAAAAAAAATCAACTTGGACTCAAGAATGAACTGATTAGAATTTCATAGTCGAAGGTCAAAGGTTACTGTGACCTTGAATCCATCTCATTCTCGTGAACACAATGTCCCAGGAAGGCCTTGAGGGAGTTTACCTTAAATTTGGCACAAACGTCTACTTGGCTTCAAGAATAAACTGATTAGAATTTGGTAGTCAGAGTTCAGAGGTTACTGTGACCTTTAATCCGTCTCATTTTTGTGTACGCAATATCTCAAGAAGGCCTTAGAATTTCCCTTTAATTTGGCACAAACATCCACTTGGACTCAAGAATAAACTGATTAGAATTTGATAGTCGAAGGTCAAACATTACTGCGACCTTGAATCCATCTCATTCTTGTGAACACAATGTCTCAGGAAGGCCTTGGGGGAGTTTACCTTAAATTTGGCACAAATGTCTACTTGGACTCAAGAATGAACTGATTAGAATTTGGTAGTCAAATGGTAGTTTGGTAGAGTTCAGAGGTTACTGTGACCTTGAATCCATCTCATTTTTGTGTACGCAATATCTCAAGAAGGCCTTGGGGGAGTTTCCCCTAAATTTGGCACAAACATCCACATGGAAGAATGAACTGATTTTGGTGGTTGAAGGTCAAAGGTCAAGGTCACTCTGACCTAATAAAACACGTTTGTTGCCATAACTCAAGAATTCATACACTAATTCTGGTTTCTGGTTGAACCGCCAATTGGAACTACTCGGTTACTAGTGTTGTCACGATACCAACATTTTGGTATCGATACCGGTACCAACATGTATTTCGATACTTTTTGATACTTTTCCAAATAAAAAGAGAACACAAAAAATGTCAGTCTTTATAACATATTAAATGGCTAAATGTGTATGTAAAAGTTTGTTACTTCATAAAGATCATGCATGTGTGCATTTACAGCTCTGGAAAAAAAAATAATTAAGGGACCACTTCAAATTTATCGTTAATCAGCATGTCTACATGTATGGCAAAAAGTTTAAAAATCACTGTGAGAATATAAATATAAATAAAATAAAATAAAGTAAATAGGCTATTTAAACCAGAGAAAGTGGTAATGGCAATGCAGATTAAATTTTTTTCCAGAGCTACTTTTGTGGAGAGTGAAGGGGGCTGGCGTTGCTTGCTTTTAGCACTGAATGTGGCTTTTTTTTCATGGGTATATAAGTTATTACCTGTCGTTCTCTGAACTCCTTGTGCAGGTCTGGGTGCTTGTCCTTCAAGTGTTTTGCCAAGTTGGAAGTGTTTCTACCCTTGGCCACACATGTTTTGTAACACCGTTTGCACAGTGGTGCATCGGTGTTAATGGCTTCACCTTGCTCATTTGTTTTCATGCTGAAGTAATTCCATATATCACTTTGCGCACCTGGTTTATCTACGAGTTGCGGCGTGGTGATGGTTGCAGCAGCTGCCATTCTCTCTCTGCTCCTGTCTCTCGCTCTCTTTCTCTCCTTTATCTCTCTCTGTTGCCAGACTCCTGCTCCGTTTGCTGCTCCACGAGCCCCGGCTTGCTCGCTTCGGCTCAAATTACAATGCGGTGATGTCACGCAGCGATGTAAAAAAAAAAAAAAAAAAAAAAAGGACCGGTCTCATCCAAGCGCTGTATAGTACCATTTTAAATGCATCAGTACCCCAGTACCAATTTAGTACCGGTATACCCCAGTAACACTTTCCAGCGGTTACATATATGTTCGGTAAAGTTTGGACTTCATTATAAGTCCATTTGTCTGTGTTTTCTGCCATTTTGTTTTCGTTACGAGCTGTTACGTGTGTTGTGTGTTGTTTGTGGTTTACACGTCCCACTGGTAGACAGACCCAGAACACACTGGAGGGATTATATATCTCATCTGGCCTGGGAACACTGCGGGGTCCCCCAGGAGGAGCTGGAAAGTGTTACTGGGGAGAGGGATGTATGTGGCCTGCTGCCCCCACAGCCCGGGCACAGATAAGCGGATGAAAATGGATCGATGTGGCTTACAAGGCATTTTTTTTTTTTTTTTTAATGGCAGTTGGCTATGTTCAACCAATCAATATACACCTCAATGACACGTGGTTCCTCTTGTGTTGGAAGAATACCTAGTCTAAAATAGGAGCTAACAAAAGTCCCTCAAAATGGCATTATAAGAACTATGATCATTTCTAGTTTGTTTAATGCGCAACAAATAAGGGTGTTGTTGGAGCTATGGAAAAGTTCCTCCAGTCCAAAAACGCCTACTGGAACACAACCAGGACCAGAACAATACTCCTCCTGACTCTGTTTCATCCATCAGTGTGACGCTCTTTTCCAGCACCTTCACACAAGCTTTCAGAGTCTGAACTCTGAAACACCCTGACAGATGAGGCACACCCTCCCTTCTTAACCTCCTGTGTGGCAGTCCACAGGCACTGCCCTCGACCTCACAGAGCAGGAACCTCCACCAGGTCCTCCAGCTCTGCCTCCTCAGGACTTCCTCAACTCCTCAAACTGCCTAACTTTATTTCCAGTCAAGGTCAGCAGTTCAGCCTCTCCTTACTGAGTCATCTGACAATTTGCCAGAACCACTTTGAGGTCGACGATATTATCTGCACAAATCTGACTGCTGCATGGTTTCTCCACTCTGAGCCTTCCAGCCATAAACACACAGAACAGGCGATTTTAATCAGACTGATTTTAAAACTCACAGAGAAACTTCTTTTTCTTTTCCTGCTCCGCATCATTGTTAAACAAGATCCATTAGATTAAACCTGAATTTTCCTCCTAACATGAAACACATTCTGCACATGCTCACCTCTGTTTATATCTCTTTATAAACTCTGTATCTGCTGCCTCTAAATTTCACCACAGTTTTTATGGCCAGTAACCCCGGGTTCACAAACAATGTTAAACTCGCCTCGGGCTCAGACAACTGAGTGTAAATGCAAACATCATATGGAGCTTGGAGGTCGCGGTGAAGGACTGAACACTGACCTGGCAGCAGGATCCCTGAGGCGATGCACTCCATGACCCGACGCAGGGCCTCACCTGGACCCAGCGGCCGGTTACAGGTGGCGATGGCTTTTTCACAGATGAGCTCCAGAGGCTGCAGAGGGCGGACAGACAGAGGACGCTCAATACAGCATAAAGTAAATCAATTCCAGTCATGATTCTGGTCCTGGGAAACAAAGCTGACTGCTCATCCTTTACACACACACACACCAGGCAGAGAACGCTGTTTAACCACCCGGGACATAAACTTATAAAACTCCTGTTTCCCATTCTGTCTGAGTACACGGAGTGAACGCTGGAGTGTTTGTAAACTTCACAGTTTGTTGAACTTCATCTTCTGCTGAATGTGAGGACTTGACGTCCCATTCTGATTCTGTGTCCGTCACCTACCCATCCTTTGAGAGGCTGCCACCCAGCCAGTCTGTTGCACATGTCTCTGAAAATCCTCAAGATGATGACGCAAGACTTGAGATCTGTGACTCTGGCCTGAGGGGACACACAGACAGAGAGACAGACAGAACTTAGTGGCAGCACAAAGAGCATTTCAACAAGACGGCAGTCAGCAGAGCAGCACACAGCCATGACACGTTTCAGACTCAGAGAGCTCTGCGGTGCTTCAAGAGGCAGTTTCATGACCCCTGAAATCTGAATATGCTGCTGAGCCACTGAGAGAGACTGAATTTGATATTTAACTTGATAATGCTCTTTTTGTAATGAAAAGAAATGTGTGTGCGCTGGTAGAGACTGTTTTTAACTTCAGCCTCTGAGGGGAATAAACTGTGTGAGTGTTTAAAAATTATTGAATTCACAGCACTGAAATATTTTACTTTGAAAATCACGTATTGGTTCAGAATTTCACTTCCATTCCACTTCTGGCACTTTTTTATTCACTGCACTGTAAATGTGATGTTTCTACTGTTACTTGTTGACTCTTGAGTTTTTGTTTGTTACAATGTTGTTGATTTGTTTTATGTTGTTGTGTACTGAACATTTCTTTGATGTTTGTTGCTTCTTTTTAATGCTGCACCACAATAACCCTCCAGGAGCAATATAATGAACTGAATTGAATTATAGAGTTAAAGTGAATAGAATGAAGTTGAATTGAATTAAGCTGTATTGAACTAAACTGAATTAAGCTGAATAAAATAGTACTGGACTGAACTGAAATAAGATGAATTAAATTAAGTTGACTTGAATTATATTGATTTTAACTGAACAGAGTTGCACTGAATTAAGTTGAATTGGATTAAGTTGAACTGAACTGGAGCAGCACAGTGGTGTGGTGGTTACCACTGTCGCCCCTCTCTGCAGAGTCTGCATGTTCTCCCTGTGTCAGCGTGGGTTTCCTCCAGGTGCTCCAGCTTCCTCCCACAGTCCAAAGACATGCAGGTTAATTGGTGACTCTAAATTGTCCGTAGGTGTGAATGTGAGCGTGAATGGTTGTCTGTCTCTATGTGTCAGCCCTGTGATAGTCTGGTGACCTGTCCAGGTTGAACCCTGCCTCTCACCCAGTGTCAGTGGGATAGGCTCCACCCCCCGCAACCCTTTGTTACGAAAATGGATGAATGGATGAACTGACTTGAATCGAATTGACTTGAATGTTCATTGCCTCAAATCCCAAATTCAAGTTTCAGAATTTCAAAAAAAAAAATAGATTCAGGTTGCTCTGATTCAGTTGGTCAAATTTAGATAAAAACATTCAAAGGGCTACCCAAGACAGGAGAGGCTGTCAGGCCTGAATGAAATCGCACCGACCTCTGGCCTATCAAAACACGGTCTGTCCAACATGTGACACAAGAAAGTGGCTGGAAATTGAAACCCAAAGACGGCTGACAGGGAGAGCAACAGGGCTCCAATGAGAAGTCCAGTTCGTGCCGTTTGAGTACAATCTGACTGCAACTGATGTTCAATTTGAAATTTTTCAACTTGAATTTTTTGGTCTAAATTTGATCAACCAAACTCGAGCAACCCGAAAATACTGTTTTGAAATCCTGAGACTTGAATTTTTGGATTTGAGTTTGTAAACACTGAGAAAAGGAGGGAAAAAATCATCCTTTGAAACTGCAAATCAAGAAATTTTGTATTTTTATCTCAAAGAGGTGAAATCACAACAAATTAATTCAGATACATGGTTTAGAAGTAAAAAAAAATTACGGCTATAAACTGTGGTTTGTAAATTTCAATATCAAGTATTCAGTGGTTGCTAATTTAAATACTTTCATTTATTTCATAATAAACACTAGTCCATACCCATTGGTAGCTTTGTCCCCTTCTACCTATGCCAGTCCTCAATGCCTATGTGCAGTTTCACATAGATTGACCACGTCAGTGAGTAGAAAAACGTGGGACAGACAGAATGACTGACTGACAGAATGACACACTGACAGTTTCTGTGATTATGTACAGCATACCATACCATGACTTAGTCATACCAAACATTAGAAAACACCAACATTGGTCCACAGGGGGAGCCACAGCGATCGGTCGCATTTTAGCCATTTTGAAGCATTTTTCTGTTGTTATAGCGCCACCCAGTTGCCAATTAGAGTTTAATTTCTCCAGTCACCTTGAGGCGTCCTGTTCTACATATCTACCAAGTTTAGTAAAATTCCATATGGCGGTTAGGCCTAGATAAGAAATGAGCTCTCTAGCGCCCCCATTTTGTTTGATGGGGTCAATAATGGAGGGGTCCCCTCAGATTATGTGTGGTCATATGCCTACAAAGTTGCGTGGTGATGGGTGAAACCCTTGAGATGTTATACACCTTTATGTGATGAGCCACGCCCTCCGCAATATTCATTGCCTTATAGAAGCTCAGTTTTAGTAAGTTTTCCAACTTTTGCCAAGAGGGAACTTTAGATATTGGTCCCTAGATTATGTTCACCCAGTTTCATGCAGATCGCTCAAACTTCCTTGGAAGAGATCCATTTGAAGTGTTTTTCAAAATATTCAAAATGGTGGAAAATCTATATAAGCGGAAGTTATGGGTTCTTGAGGCAAATGTGTTCCTCATGAGGAGAGGCATCTCTGTGCAAAGTTTCATGTCTCTACGACATACGGGGCATGAGATATGCCCATTCAAAGTTTGACATTTCAGTCGGTTGCTATAGCGCCCCCCTTTGGCCAATTGATGTAATATTGCTTCATTGGCATCCTCCCATGACCCTCTACCACTGTGCCAAATTTCACATGGATTGACCAAGTCAGCTGAGACAGCTGAAGTCAAAGTCTTTCTGTTGAGAATAAAATACTGGTATGAAGCCTAGAATTCAGAATATTTCGCTAAAGACAACAGGCCTCATTCATTACTATGTGCATCGAAATGTTCTTACTCTGTGTATAAAATAAGTGCACTACAAACTCACTGGTGGCTTCACGACACGTGTTGTTGTTTTTAATAAACTTATGAACTAGAATCCTGACATGAATATTCATACATGATAAAATATATTAAGGAGAGAACCTTTTTCTTTTAGTTAACTTCTCTCAATCCTTGTTTCTACATTTGAACATTCTTGAAAGTCTCCTCTTAATCTGAATCACGTTGAGTCGCTCTGGATGTTTTATTTTTCATATATTCTGTGGTTTTGTGTCAGAACTCCATTCCTGCTGCACAGTGCAGTATGAGATGTATATATAAATGCCCTCCTTGTTAAGGCCTCTGCCTCCTGCACTCAGCTGTGAAATACTCTAAGTAGATTTCTGTGTTCGGGACATTTATTGTAGCTCTACTCTCCCTCTATGCTTTGCCTCAGTATAGTGACAACAGACACTTCTGAAGCCAGGATGGTGCTCTTATACGGTCGACCTCATGTGACAAATGTTTCACTGGACATCTCTGTGACTTAGTGATGTGAATGTGCATGGACTAACAAACCCTGTCGAAATCTCTGGTATCCAAGATGCAATGATTTCACCAAGTTTTGTCCTTTATGTGCCTCATAACCCTTGTCTCAAGGTTTCCTCAAAACTAAAAGGAAAGGCCTGAAGAATATGAGGAGAAGAGTGACTGAAGACTATGACATTAGCATCAAAAACAAATTACGCTGGTGATTATTGACACTCCAATTTGCACAGAATGACTATTCCCAACAATAAAGTGTGTAATTCAATCCAGGTGCTTTCATTTAAACCTCACAGACATGTTGGAATGAGATGAATGCCACTAATCGTATCTGCAGTTATTACATCGCTGAAGGTCCTCGGGTTGTATTAGTCCCGTCTGAGTGTGATGAAACTGAATCCTGCTCGCACTGCTTCACCTTCACTCCACAGTGAAGCCCTTCACTCTGATATTATTTGGCATCCAGCTCTCCTTCCCTGAGGGAAGCTGCTCGCTGCTTCACCTGACCCTTGGCTTTCGTCTGCCTCCTCAGCGGTGGAAGAACTCTCAGTTCAGTCAGGACGAGTTGCAGCTCCTCTCAAACCTGATTTGGTTTGAATCTCGTCATGACCTTCGGAGTTTCATCCCGCTCTGCCATGTTCTTCGTCCAGTATTCAGATGATTAACATTTCCACACTGTCTCTTCTCTCCCTAATACTTCTTCACTATTCATATTTAATCTACAAACATTCATTATGCTCTGACATGACGGTTGATATGGTTGTGACGTTTGCACACCTGACTGCTGGATACTTGACAAATTCATCCATCTGAATGTAGCTCAAATTTTAACCAAAGCTGCCCAAAAATCTGCAAATCTAAATGCTAATTAATGATCCTTTCCATCCACTACTGCAAATATTAGAAGTCGAGCACATTAAGGTGAACAGTCGGGTGCCATTAAACCACTGCAGAAGGAGAGGCCGCAGCAAGAAGAAATAATTAAAAGAACACTGATGTGGATGCATCATGGACAAACAATTCTGTTTCATGAATTAATGTGAAGATCGTTGTGTCTCCTTATTGATCACATTTCGTCTGCTGCAATCTTCAATTACCTTTTTAGTCACGTTTCACATACGATCATGTACGTAGCATTTGCTTTTATCGTTAAAACCAACTTAGTCATGTGTCTGGCGGCTGTGGCTCAGGAGACAGAGCGCTAATTGGAAGATCAGTGGATCCCCGGCTCCTTCTGTCCGCATTATGAAGTATCTTTGGGCAAGATACTGAACCTCAAATTGCTCCTGATCGCTGTGCCATTGGTGTGTGAATGTCTATAAAAACAGAGCAGCAAGTGGCGCCTTGTATGGTAGCCTCGGTGACAAGTGTGTGAATGTGTGTGTGAATGTGACGCAAAGTCTAAAAGCACTTTGAATAGTCGGGAAACTAGAGAGTCGCTGTACAGGTGCAAATCCATCTACCTTTCCATTTAGCGTGTGCGGCTAAAAAAGTGTTTTGTGAAATGCATTTCAGAGAATTTGGCAGCACAGTGGCGCAGCGGTTAGCATTGTTGCCTCATGGCAATGGCTCCAGCCCCCCCGCGACCCCCAACTGGATGAGCGGTTATGGAAAATAAATGAATGAATGAATTTTGGAAAACTTATAATTGATACCTGGGTTATCCCTCAGTTTCCAGTCCAGGAACTGTTATGTGTCTGTACCATGCAGAGATTGTACAGAGGTGGTTGAAGTGGATGGTGGGTAGGGTTGGGTACCGTTCATAATTGAACTGATACGGTACCGGTATCTGGAATTCAGTACCGGTACCAAAGGGTACCTTATTTCAGTACTTTTTAAAGTCTAAACTTCTCAGTTTCAACATTTTATTAAGAACATTTAGGAACAGTGCTGCACGTTAACTTTTGTCTGCACATTTTTTTTGTCGCCATTGTTGCTGAGTCTGAGGTGCGAGTCATGCGCTTTTGCTCCGCCTCCACCTCAGGTACCGAAATTTGGCACAGATTCATTTTAAATGAATCGGTACTTGGTAGTACCGATGTGAATCGGTACTACCAAGTACAAAAAGTACCGAGTTTCGGTACCCAACCCTAATGATGGGTGTATTTTCAAAATGGAGGTTCACATCCTAAATATCATTTGTCCAACAATCCCCTTCAAATTAAACCACACCAACTTCTGCCTGACAAAAGCTGTCTGCCAGACATCAGGCCCAATGATTGGCTGCCAACCTTCTGCTGAGGCATGCAGCAAGTCAGCTGCTGGCTCACAGTGGCGCCTATAGCTGGACACCCTGTGAAACGGCACGGCTTGAATTCATCAGTAGTTCTGAACAACAAAACAGTTTCCAAAAAAAACACTGAGAAACTCTCATCTCTCTCCTTAGAGGCAGGATGTTGGGTTTTAATGTCCCTCCACCTCCTTCATCCATCTACGTGTCTTGTTTCCATGTGTATGTGTTTATTTATGTTGCTGGTTGAATTCGAGTTGCCACAGCTGTTGAGGGGAGACTCTGCCGATTATCAACCAGCTCTGTCATCTCAGTGTGAAGCTCCTGCAGATGAGCGGGGGAGCTGGGGCCCCATGGTGGCACAGGAGGAAGCCAAACACTGTTCATATGCACACACTGCCATCACAGTGATGACAAAGCTGGCTGATAATCAGCAAAGTTTCCCTATAACGACCTATACTGCTTTTTTCCAAGCTGATGCAGTTGTCATATTTGGCAGAGACAGACCCTCAGTGGCTGTGCAACTTGAGTTCAGCCTGCGCAAATCCAAGTGCCGGAGTCTGATCCCAGACCACCCCTTCCCAGATCGGCTAAATTTCTGGCTTTGTAGTCTGTGAGCGGTGGGGAGTGAAGCGGAGAGACTGCAGGGTTGAGCTTGATAGCAAGCTAGCGGCAGTGTTTTTTAAATGGTGCTGGTTAGCAATAGTCTGACAGCCAATCATGACGTCTGACAGCCTGCTTTCATCATGCAAAAGTGGGCGTGGTTTTATCTTAAGTGGGTTGACAAAAAGGATTGATGCTTTCAGTGTATTAAAACACTTTGGTTCCACTCTGGGAAAGTAGGGCTGACGCGGTGAAGGAATTCCCTCTGCAGTGATTAAGGGTGGTTCAACAGTGCGCTTTGCGGTACTACCGCCATTTTTATTTTTTTTTTTAACAAATGTATTTATCCTGATTTTAGTGCTTTGTAAATAAGCTTTAATGTCAGGCTATTTTCAGGCATACTGTTGCACTTTAAAGGACAAATGTGACAGTTTTAAAACAAATAAAAACCCTATGAGCCACTGTTAAATGAAAAACATAGCAGAGCAATGAGGCGCAATAAGGGACGCAGCATACAAAGGTAAAAATGTCGAAACAAGGAGGACCTGCTCTGGATAAAGGGAGGTCTGATGCATGCAGGGAGAGAGGACGGACTCGCTGGTCTTTGTGGGTTCAGTATTCATTTCTTAGCCATTATCATTGTTGTTCAGTTATGTGATGGTTGTTTTTTCTGTGAGGTTAAATGCCCCACCCCTCCTTCACTGTGATTGGACAGCTAGGTAAGCAATAATAGTAATAATTGCCGGTTGCATTTTACCAACAGTTGAATAATTCTAAACGCTCTGCAGCCAAAAAAACAACAACCTTCAAACATGTAGTGCTCATCACAGAGTAGACGCTCAGCACCTTGTCATGCTGAGATGTAAGTACGTGGTGCAAACATAGCGATGAAGCATGAACATAGCGGTAGTGGCAGTTGCTTGCCATCTCCTGCAGTTGGCTTATCAACATCAAGGTTTTGTAATACTGCAGTTACCGTGACAGCCCTCAGGGGAAGATCATAGTTTTGGTTCAATATGAATAAACATACACGTTTTGTCTCCTCATCACAAAATCACAGTCTTTCCCAAACCTTAACAAAGTGCTCTGAGCGCCTGAACTTAAGCATGAAGTGGTTATTCATGCTTAAGCTGCAGCTGGTTGATATTGAAGGAAGGACAGAAGACAAATATTTTGCAGACATATTAGGGATGAACATTTACAGATATGTTTATTTTAGTCAGAAAAACTTGCGTCACAGGACTGACCATTTATAGGCATTAATGGTTATACAGAATTGGTGGGAAATGATCTGAGCAGCAGTGATGAGGAGTCTGCTGGAACAACTGTGACGCCTGTATGAAGCAGCTGCTGCCGATCAGCTGATACAGGAGCAGCTTCAGCTCTTCAGCCTGAGCTCTAAACCCCGGTCTTTATTATGTGACTGTGTTTCCTTCAAAACATATTCCCTGTTGCACTTCAAAGTATATCCAAATGTAATATTTGGAGACAGGGTTGAATATTGCGGCTGGCAGAGTGTAAAGACAGTGAGAGTGATTGTGTCATCAGCCCAGCTGTGCTCACCTGGAACCATTTGGCGTGTCGGAGCGAAGCCAGCGCAGCCTGGCACTTCTTCCTGTCCAGGACATCCTCCTCCTCCTCCTTCTCCTCCTGCCTCCCCTTGCTGTCGTTCTGATGGCCCTCCTCTGGAGAGACGGACAGGATGAGACAGGACAGACTGAGCGTGACCACGCTGACCTCCCGCGCTCGCACACAGACACACAGGCAGCAGGGTTGGACAGCTAATTATTAGGCAAACCCACTGATCTGACCGAATGAGCTAGGAGGGGGGGAAATTTGAGAGTTTCTGTGATTTTCTGGGAGAGGGGAGTTTCTCATGCACAAGGCAGGATCTTTCATAACATTGACAGGAGGAACTGGAGTAGACGTGAGCGCATGCGTCTTGCCGCCCGGCCGGAGTCTCACTCTAGATGCAGATCAGTGGCTGGAGGCGATGGAACACGCCAGATTAGTGTGTTATCAATTACGGCGCAGGACGAAAATGAGAGCATGGCAATGACTCGGGAGCAAAAAGCCAGATTAAAGATTAAAATAAGGCTTTGGAACAAAGAGACATTTGGCAGATTGAGAAATACTGGCTCAGGAATGCCTGAGATTGGGGAAAGGCAGGGAACCGTGCACATACATTAGCTATGCTACTTGAAGACAGAGTAAAACAGTCATCCTGCTTTAAAGAGGCAGCTTGCTCTGCAGTATTCTGGGGCTCCATGCTAGTATTTTCACTCTTGCGGGGTCGGTCAGATGTTTATGTTTGACTGAAACAGTCTCTCCACACCGGGTTCCTGTGGGGAGCACTCCTGCCATGACTGGAGGCCGAGCCATGGGATAACGACAGCAGAAGAAGAGTGACAGCAGATGACAACGACAACATAAACATCTGAGAGTGAGAACGCCACCCTGGAAAGAAAGTGAAGGCTGTTTGTTCTCGGGAGCAGCTAAGGGGTGCCCACTGTGGGACAGTCAAGCAGACGGACAACAGGGGGAACAGACTGCAGACCACACGGCAGAGCTCAGTAGTGAGGGCTCACGGCCTATCAGTGAAACATTATCTTTATTCTTCAGCTCGCCAAATATTAGATGCTGATAAATGTCCCATCAGTCTGTAGTCAGCGCCATTATGGTTCAAAGATGTCTCCCAATGAGCAACAGCCAGCAGAGATTAAATCAGGGCTATTTTATGCGAGGCTGACAGTAATGCTGACACAGAGCAGGAAAAAAAAGCTCCAGCTCGTAGAGAGGAGGTTACAGTGAAGTCTCTAATTCCAGATATACGCAGTATTCAAATTCCAATTCATCCGCCTGTGTGAGAGACATCAGCAGTAATGTGAGCACAGGAGCGATGTGTGTGGTGCAGCAGTCTGTTGCTGTAGAGACCGTAGTGAAAGCTGAACAGGATGGAAGAGGTGGAAGACAAACGAAGGAGCCGATGAGAGACACAGGCTTTGTCCCGTGTCACTCCTCCTCCATGACCAGAGACTGAGGACCTTCATGTTCTGCCCCTGGGACCTCTGGGTAATATAATGCACCACTCTGACTGCTGTGATTTGTCAAAGGTTGTTGGAAGAGTAAACTTTTTTAATCCGGCACTTTGCGCCACAGCCTCTCAGTTTTGCTTGCTTTGTGAACCTGGAGACCTCAAAACAAATGAAATTGGGAATTGAAGTGAAACCTGACAAAAAGCCTTTAAATGACTTTTCTCTCTTAAAAAATACTTTGTGGCAAAAACCTTGAGTCAAAGTAGATAAATGGTTTTCAGGGTCGTGTTCAGCGGCAGTAATGCTGCAGGGTCAGCGGACTGAAGCCACATAAGAAAATGTAAGTCATACCTTAAATTCTACACTGGACTTCTCAATAACATGAACATTTAAACTGTCAGCTTCAATAACACAAACAGCATTCTGCAACTGAGATCTATGGAGTCACAAGTGTGCCGCGAAATTACATAAAGACCTTTTCAACAGTAGATAATAATCATTACTTAAACTGTTAGATTATAAAAAAAAAAGCTGCATGTAAATATTTTTAATTTAACCCTTTGAAACCTGAGCAAACAGGGGAGGCAAGAAATGAGAAATGACCCAAAGAACTTGCAAGAAATGAGTGAAAAGAGAAAATTAAAAACAAGAAATTTGTAGGGGAAAAAAGAAAGAAATAAAAGGAAATGACCTGGAAAAATGCTTAAAAATTATAAAAAAATTCTGTCATAATTATGAAAAGTAATAGTAATTGTTGTTGTAGTTTTTCCCCAGCTTAAATTTTTTTCTAAATCTAATTATTTTTTCAGTTTGTAGGTGTCTTATCAAGTTGCTCATTGCCATTATTCCTGTGTTTCTGACAGAAATCACACCGAGTTGCCCAGGGTTCAAAGTGGTGTCTAAGAACAGCACAAGAAAAGTGATGCTGCTTTTTAGTCAATAAAGTGTCAGGCATAGTGAAAAATACCAAATATCAAATTTTCAAAGCCAAGGACGCTTCTTCATTTTTGACCTAAAACTGAAAGGTATTGAATTTAAATTGTTATAGTTTTAATTTTCACATTTGAGAAGCTGGAATCAGCGAATTTTGGCCATTTTTCATTGGACAGGACAGATAAATAATTGTTGAGGGTTATTTTTCTCTTCGATTGACTAATCTAATAATTAATTGCGTCAGCAGATATGGAGACACGGCTGAGCAGCTGAGTATCCGCTCTTTGCTCAGGTGAGTGTTGGATTCAAAGGCAGCTTAAAAGTCAACACATTCTCACTCCAACTTCGTCACATATCAAAATCTGGTCACGGACTTTCCACGTGCAGCTACAACATGCAAGGTACCCTGGGTGTGTTGGTTGTTGACGTTCTGGGATGCCGTGTCAACTTCAGCCTGTTATATGCACTGCCTGTTTTCAAAATACACTTGTGTTTTCACAGGAAATGTACAGTTTGCATACAGTCTCTTTCAAAATAAAAGCACTACGCCGGTACAACACCACAAGTTTTTCCTTCAACACGTCGTCCCAGGTGAAAGTTGGTGTTTGTTGGACTCATCCACCACCACTCCTGCCCGCCCCACTTGGACTTTTGCCACCTTAACTTTCAATCTTGTCCCACTGTGTTTCACCTTGATGCTGCCAGCCGCTGCTAAACTATAACGTTAAAGGACGGCTTTTTTGCTCAGTGTCTGACGCCAGAAGTCACTCCCCAAGCGCACGATTTTGATGACTTCAGAGTAAGACCTGGTTGTGATACTATGTTAGGATTAACGTACCTTTAAATTCATTATTAATACTTAACTTCCAAAGAAACGCTCGCTTTGTCACTTTGCATATTGTGCATAAATGTGATGATAAATAATTGTTGCGGACTAATTTTTGACTATTAAATGAATCCATTAATTGTTGCAGCCATAATGTATTGATGTACTTACAGCTACTGTCTGTCGTGTCACATTCCATCTCACTAATTAATCTGTCACCTGCTTTGACATTTGGTTTCCATTTTCTGATTAGCTTTCACTTAGAGATGATTGTCTTTAATTTAAACAGGTGGTCGCAGAGCGCCACCTACAAACTAAATTAGATGCGACTCACAGCAGCAGCAGCAGCAGCAGCAGGGCTCAGTCACTACACCCTGAATTACTGCGGTGGCATGCTTGAGACTCCATAGAGATAAAACATAACTAAGGAATAACATGTTTGGATAAACAATGGCGACGATTTTCCCGCTCTTTGGTTAATGACCAGTAATTTTTTATCATTCATGTGTTCATTTACTTCAGTGATTAGTTTGTCCAGTCGTGTGCAGATGAGCGGTGAAAGCTGTTTCCCAGAGGCACGCCATGAAGGAACCGTCACTCCCAGGTCCAGACCACATACAGATAAGGACAACCCCCACTAAATTCTCCCTGACATCATCAGCTTCGGGGAATTTTGATTAGTGACGTCAGATTAATTCAATTAACACCGTTTTTACAACATGAAATTATGGGATGTCATTCTGAGCCAATGCAAATTGATCACCAGAGAGGGGTCAGCCCCTGTAGTTAAAAGCACAGGTGTGGACATGGGCTGCTGGGTAATGTAGTCACTTTGTCCTTTTAGTCTATGTGCTCGGTGACAGACATGGACCAGAATTTCATGGTGACCCAGAGAGAAGTCCAGTCAGCAGAGGAAGGGGGAGGACGGGGGAGGTAAGAGGAGCATGTCTGAGGCAGAGAGTGAGTGGGTTGGTTTGATTTGGTTGTCGGGGAAGCCCCTTGTACCCGGGGTTTCCTGCTGCCGGGTGGGGGGAGGGGCGCCTCGTCAGCAGCGGGGGCCGCGGAGGAGTGTCAATCCACAGCGCGCCGACCTGCGGAGCTACGGCAACAAAACCAACAGTCAGTGAGCAGAGGCCAGCTACAGGAGGTACACTCTACAAACCAGGGGTCATCTCAGAGCCACAGGCAATCAGTCAGACTGGTTACTCACCTGGACAAACTCTCCTCCACAGGTGCCCTGAGGAACCTCATATATGATGAAATACTGGCATCAATTAAACCCCTAACAACTAATCTCTGTTCATTAAAACTACATATTCAGAAGTTTCTTCTATGAAAAAAAAAAAAAAGCACAGATCTATAAATATATACAAACTGGTCGCCACCTCTATCTCCACCCTTCAGACTCTCGTCTGCCGATGAGCTTTTGTCTTATCTATGTTTTCAATGTTAGATAAACCTTTTTCTCGATTGTCAGCTTCGACACGTTCAAGTAACAGTGAAATTTAGTTTGCAAATTATGATGCAGGTACACCCTGCGAGTTGACAGGACTGGTTTTTAGGTTTGTGACATATGAAACCCTTTTAATTTTAATTTCACAGATAAGAAACAATAAATTGTGAAGACAATAAAGCCTCCACAAAAAAGCATTTTAAGTCTTGTGTGTGATTTATTCTGGCTTCATGAGCAGAGGAAATCTCTGCTTGTTGCTAGGCTTTTTTTTTTTTTTTATAAAATGCCATTAAATATTAAATATTGCTGTAGTAGAGGAAATGTCAGCTAGCCACTAGGCTATTTTTATACAATGTAAAATGCCATAGGCTTGTGCTAATAACATTAGCATGTTGTATTTGTGGGGAAAATGTGTCCAGATAAAGACAAGTGTTTGTCTGTGAATGCTGCACCTTAAGCCTAGTTCACATGACACGATTTTCACCGTGATTCTGACGTCGCAGAGGATCTTGAGAGCCACCTTGGGTCGGAGGTGAGTCGGCAGATAGTCTGCCACGACGAGTCCTCAAGTGTGAACAGGCCTACGAGCAAGTTGCCCCCTTGTCTGTGACTGGAACTGGATATCTGGCTAGAAAAATGGAGAAGTGTGACACGACTGACAAAGAGCATCAGCCAATGAGAGGCGGGATACGTCCCACGTCAGCACGCAGGAGGACGGAAGAAATGTGAGGAAGCCGGCAAGTAGCAACAACAATGGCGGCTTCCACAGGATCACAGGGAGCACGTTGTGTTTGGACCCAGACCCTGGAGGCAGATCTGATTCAACACTGGGAAGAATATTCATGCCTTTACCATGTGTCGTCTCCAAGTTAAAAAACATAGTTTGGTGACGTCACCGCGTTATCTGGGGCTCTGTCGGCGAGGGCTCAGTGGAGAAATCTTGTGGTGTGCACACACAGGTCGTAACGCAGTTGGCGAGACTCCCGATTACAGAAACACACGTCACCAGGTATGAACACTCAAAAGAGTACGTTAGTCTCCGCGACGCAAAATCGGGGTGAAAATCGTGTAATGTGAACTAGGCTTTATAGTGAAGCTGATTTGTGTACTGTGTCTGACATTGTTGCTATTAAGCCATGTTTAATGTGTGTTTAATGTGTGTTTCCAGTCCACTCAACTTTACAGGACTTCACAGAAGCCCCGCCCCTTTAGCTTCCATGTCAGACTCCAGCCTGCGTCTCCAGACTGAGGGTGTGCTGACTGACATCTACTGTATGTAATACACCATCTATGGATAAGCACCACAAACAACCCCACTACAAAAAAATCTGAATTATGCCTTTAAATTCTTGTATTCTTTTTTGTGTGGACAGTTGGCTCTGCTCTTGTTTGTGTGGAGGGACAATCTCACTATAACAAACCTGGATGAAACACCATCCTTGTTTTTTTGTGCTGACAGGATGTTGAGCCTGAAGGACAAATGGTTTTCTCCTTGTTGTGACTCAACAGCTGTGCTTCTCTCCCGTTTGGCAGAATCCATTTCTCTGCCTTTTGTGACGGCTTGTCTCAATCTGTCCCCACTGGGAGCGGGACCACAGTGAGACTGGCTGCTCTGTAATGGCAGCTCTTCACTTCTGACTTGTCGCCTTTCATTCAATTTTAATTTCGCCTCCATCCGCCGGAGAAAACAAACACAGTCGGGGCACTGATGCTAAAAGTTTCCCTTCAATTTTTTTCACAGCTGCTGATCACGAGAGATGAGTTGTCTCGTTGGTGTGAGGGATTACTTCACTTCAACAGCCACCTCTTTTTCTTCATGGATTCATTCTTTAAAATATATCTGTTCCTGGCCTAAAGTGATGTCTGTGTTGAAGGAGAAAACTTTCCGACTCTGATTTTTTGCCTTGCTGAATCCTTTCTCGTCAGGCGCAGGACGATATACGAGAGGACACCTGAGACAGACATCTCCTTTTTCACCAATCCCAACCCAACACATCCCCTGCGGAAATCATCCTTCACCGGCCATCTGCTATTTCCACCACACTTAACCCAGATCCATATCATCCCTTCTCCTTTTCCCCCTCTTCTCCTCTAAGCTTTCAGCCCTCTCAACGTGTCATCCTTCCCAATTTCCCCAGTCTGTCCCCCACATCCAGCTCAGGTTTCACTGCACTTTCATACCTCTTCATTCCCTCCCTCTCTCTCAGCCCTCTGTTGTCATATAAAGGTCAAATAAAAACAGGGGAAGCATCCTCCTGAACAGGAAGCACAGGAGGGGGCAGGGTGGGGGTTAGAGGACAGGAGGAGGAGGAGGAGGAGGAGGAGGAGGAGTAAATACCTTCTTCTGTGGTGCCGTGCTCCTCCCTCATGGTTAAGGAGGAGAGGGTGATCTTCAGAGTGAGTCGGGGGTCTTTGGTGCTGCAGACCCGGATGGCTGCCTCAGGCACGCACGACTGCACCTCGTATTTGTCCTCCGTCATTGTCTGCAAAGCAGGGCTGCACCATTAATTAAAAATCGAACACCACAGTTGCAACATTGACTCCTGCTGTTTGTAAAGAACGAGGCGCTGCGGCTCTGCTTTGTTTAGGATAGAGCTCTCTGAACGTCATCTTACAAGGCCTGAAGATGAAACACTTTATTAACACTGAGCAAATCATAAATTTACATGTTTAAATAAATAAACTTTATTTACCTTAATTACAGAGATAAAAAGGGCCTTTATTAGAAACACTCCTTCATTAAGCATCTTTCAGTCTGAGTCACTTTTACACCAAAGTCACAATGAGAATCTGATGAGGTCGGACCTGTAGCATGTCTGCATCACTTTCAACAAGTCTAAAGTGACTGCCATCGATTAATATGAAGGCTATGTAAGGCACAATGTGAAACCCGCAGAGACAAAAACTAAATAAACGTCTGATTAGCACTGTAATTAATTCAGCATGTCAATATTGTCTCTTATGCTCAGAGAAAACGAACAAACCATGAAACACTGTGAATGAGCGGATTTCATGTTGTCAGGGGATTCTTCTCAGGTCAGACCAGTCTGCAAGAGTTTGGGTACCTCTGGTCACAATATCGTAGGGCTCGAAGTTAAAGATGCTTCTCAACATTTTAATCAAGATTAGTGTATTACTGTATTTTTCCAAATAGTAGCCCGGGCATTTATTTCACAAAATTGATTTTGACCCCAGGCTTTCAAAAGAACCTAGGGGCTATTTGCTCAAGGCTTTTATTTTTTATTTTTTGCACCGACCTGCACCAGGCCGTTATTTGTTTACAGTTCCTGTCCAGTATGTTTTTAGTGCAAAAATACTGTATAATGTAGCGGTGAGTTCGTGCTATTGCATTATACCAGTAAAGCCCCAGTTATGCGAATACCAACCGAACGGACCATTTAACCAACACCGAAATATCGCCACTCCGACGGTCCGCCATCCCGAATCCTGGTCCCTGAGTCCTGACATTAAGCTATGGCGAGCATGTAGAAGCTGTATTCCCCATGCATGTCATTGATTTTCACCGGGGACGCACGCGAGTAATTCAGACTGACATTACCTGTTTTTCAGCGAACTCTTCTGGTAATTTTATGAAAAGACATGGCATATAGGTCCACAGTAACTTATTATTATTATTATTATTATTATTATTATTGGGTCTTATAAGAGTGGGCTACAATGAGTACCGGGCCACGAAATCACAGCATCCGCAGTGAGAGGACACAGAATTGTGTGTGCTTTTACGCACGCGGGTCAAGGCGATCACGGATATTTGATGTGGGAAAAATGTAGCCAGATGTGTCACCTGTTTTAGATACGTGGCTGTCTGTCTGTCCGTCACACGAGTCATGTGCACCACTTCACCACCGACCCGTGCGTAAAAGCGCAAACAGTCCCTGAAGGAGGGACAGCCATGAGGCAATGAATGAGGAAATAATCGCCCGGGCATTTAATCGGACCGGCGTTTAATACGCAAAATGGGGTCAAACCCCCGGCGGCTATTAGGTGCCCGGCGGCTATTTGCCACCTGGCGACTATTTGGAAATATATGGTATTTTTGTTTTGTACAATTTTAGAGTGAAAAAAAAAGCAAATGAGCACCTTCCAAACGTTTGGCCATCCCTAGACCTTTGAGCTCTCAGACAACTTTTCCCAGAGTTTCACCCTTAATGAGCTTGTTGGGTCTCTGGCTTGTTCACAGTCATCGTTAGGAGAGACCAGGTGATACAAATTTCAAAGCTTTATAAATATTCTGACTCCTGAAACCTTGTCCCAACAATCAGCGGCCTCTAAACAGCTGCCTAGCACTCTGAAAACTAAAATAACTGATGCCTGTTTCCTCAGTTCTTAATGTCCTTAAGAAATGGCAGTTAACAGGAACAGCCGAGGTCAAGTTGAGGTTGACCGCAAAAGACCTGCAGCAGATTTAGTAGACTCTGGAGTGGTGGTGTGACCAAAACTAACTTTCATCTCAAGACTAGTGGTGTGTCTCAAATCACATACTTCCATATAGTACACTATGTACTCATTGGTGTAGTGCGCAAATTTCGACAGGGTAGTGTTGTCTCAATCCAAACATGGCCGTTGTGCACTCAACGGAAATGACGACCACAAACTAGCTAGTTAGCAAACTAGCATTAGCATTCGCCTTAACGTTCGCGGTATCAAATCATCACAGACTGCTAAATTAACCCATCAAACATACTTCTGGCTTATACCCCATAACAGTATAGTGGTGCTTAGTGCAAAAACACGTGTATTGTACAATGCAGCAACGTTCACGGTCGCACAGTCCTCGGCTGCCATCCTCCCCTTCCGCTACGTGGCCAAGATGGCGACCATTGAGTGCAAGAAGTGTCCGTAGTTCCACACTCAACTTTTTGACCGTTTTGAGTGCACCATCCGAGTACTCATAGTGCACTGCATTTTTCCATACTTCTCAGTGTGAACGCACTTATGCACTCAAAATATTAAGTGTAAGTACAGAAGTACGTGATTTGAGACACAGCATAAGACTTAAGTTATAAATTTTAAGATTTTCATGACATCAAACTTATTTTTTAAACTACTTACGGTCGGCATTTTTTCATTCAGCAATTACCTCTATATAGAAGTTTTCATTGTCAGTGGCAGGGTCCGCCATTCTCTCGCAGATTTTAGCTTTAATAATAAAATTTGCACTGTAAATGTAAAGGAGAAGGGTTCGGAAATAGTTACTGAATGAAAACAGTATTTCTATTCAAACGTTAAAGTCTAAAGCCCCGTTTCCACCAAACACTTTCAGTATAGTACCTTTGGAACCTAAAGTAACTCTTCAGACATGGTACCTAGATCCTAGATCTGTTTGGCAGATGGAAGTCTGCACCTGGTTTATCGTCCACAGAACGAGGCTGCACGCCCACATTTTCACAACAAAATAGAACAGGCTGCAGTGAGAGTCTCTCTCCATGGGATATTTAAAAATAGCAGCTTTGTGCATTTAGTCCTTCTCAGGCAAGCTCAGGGGTTTAGTGTTGCTGTAGCCCACAGGAAGTGAGGATTAGAATATATGACCTTCACATAATCCGCTCCAAATTAATCTATATTTTTAAAGTCATTACTAAAAGTGTGTGTCATATAAAAACTAAAGTGATGGTCAAAGTTGTCACAGTGAAATTTAAGGTGTGCTGATGGATTCACGTCATCAACTCATGCATTGAGTAACATTACAAGTTAACGTTCCACCTTAAAAGTTGCCGGCAGTCGGCCCAGTGAATGAAGTTATTTTTTCTCAGACTCCAGCTGCTGTGAGAGGCAGCAAAACATCCTTTCATTTTATAGTTACAGTTTACTAATAAAACTCTCCACAGTATGAACAGTGGTTACATGAGCCTCAAAACCAGACACAACTCAGCCCTGAGCAGAGTGACCGTCCTCTACTGACCAATCAGACTGCAGTGTTCACAGCTCCACCTTTTAGTACCACATCTGTGTGCTAGGTACCCCAACAGAGGGGGGACCAAACATGGGGACGCTAAGGAACGCTTCTGTTGGTACCATCCACAACTTTTCACTGTGGAACTGCGAACTGAACGGCACTGCTCGGTGGAAACGGGGCTTAACAGATTCACACAACATGTTGGACTGATGGAACTCCGTTATTTGGATCCTGAGTTTTATGTGAATTTTAACATACATACATACATAGCTAAGGGGAGTAGTGTTGGTGTAACGTCAAACTAATTTCCCTATGAATACCAAACAGGCCTCTGAAAGCAGCAAAGGGCACAAACTGTTGTTTTTACACGCAGCTTCCCTCCACATCTCATTCAGTGTTTCCACCCGTTGTTACTGCCAGCCAATTCCCAGCACGCCAAACTATCATGTTTTCCCTTAAGATTTGTGTTGCCTTCCGTGGCACGTTTTCAAGTGCATTCTCTCTATCTCGTCTCAGCGAGAAATGACCCCATCCATCACCCCTCTGCCTGTCAATCTCTCCCAGCTTGGCCCAGGAAATGAGAGCTTCAAAATGGTTTCCTCCATTGATGATGGAGCGTGCTCGGCAGATATGGCAGGTAATTAACTGAGATGGGGGCCACAGGAAGCACACAGGGTTCTGTGTGCGTCGACACCGCTTTGTTAGCTCGCAGATGCTTAAAGAGGGGGGCGGGGCTCTGTGGAAACTCATTTGAGGGGTGGAGATCTTGTGATAATATTATTTGTACAAGTCGGAATTTAGGCTGTTAAAAGCCACAGAGCTCTCAGGGTTGAGGAGATGCATCTCATCCGATTGAAATAATAAGTCGGAGCCGTGAGGAGAGGGTCCCAGTGGTCAGAGGTTGGACAGTGAAGATTATACTGCAGTCGGGGCTTTACACTTCTCAAGGAGACAGAATGGCAGAGATAAATCAAGTACAGTCTCAGCAGCACAGGCCACTTCCTTTTCATATCATACTTCAAACCATCTCCTCTGTATTCCGTCTCCTGCCGACTAAAAATAATCCTTTTATCTGCTTTAAGGATTAAAACTTTTTTCTCCCTGAGAAATTATTTATTTCACTTAGAAACGCCTCTGTGATACATCATCAGTGTAACACTTGATTATTCTGGGATGTTTTGCTCCATTCAGGCTGAAGTCTCTCTGCTGTTAATGATTTAAACTTTATTCTGCTGTCACACAAAGGACTCCAGACTCTGCCGCCAAATAATGACTTTTATCTTTATTGAATTGTTTTTTAATTATGAATTAAGGGTTGAAATATTAACAAAACAACATCTTTGCAATTGTTTTGTTGAAGATTAAACAGTAGGATAATTTTGCAATGCTTTGAATTTAATTACAAAAGATCATTTCTAATGTGATGCTAATTTTTATGGAGGCACAATAATATCAGCACATCTTCAGAATCAGCCAACATCGGCCAATCTCGTATCTCTCCAATCACAGCGTAGGAATGATCGTGTGTTTAGAGGCCTCGCCCCAAGACTTTAAGACATGGAGAGA